GGTGGGGGGGTTTTGTTTTTTTTATAAAACGAACACCTTAAAAAAACAAAGGGAAACACCCCCCTCCCATTTAGGCACGAAGGATTTTCCTTAGCCAGATAATGAAATGTTTGCAAGAGAACAACCAAGCTCAGGGAACCCCAAGGACTCCACATTTACTATTTCTAAAGTTATATAATTTTACTAAGTGTGTAAGCTATTTTAAGGTACTTCTAGAAAGGCAGGTATAAATCTATAAATTAAAAAAAATATGTAGGTGGGAGTGTGAGAGCCTGACCTGTCAGAAAATTATAAGACTTCCTGTGCATCTGGTCCATCTGCCTCCCAAAACATTGGAGGACCAAATATAATTTAAAAATTATACAAAACCTGAAAAACCAACATGTGCCTCCTTCTAGCTTAATCCTGTCTTCCAGCATGTATGTATAAAATGAAAATGCTCAAATATTTGCCTTCTTGCTAAACCCAGTCCACTTAAAACTTCACACTGGCCAAGAAAGTCAGACTGCAGCATTTCTAAAATGTGTGCAAGCCTGTGTTCCTGTAAGTTTCCTGCAAAATGGTTGTCAGAATTCATACAAACCACAAAAATCACATGACAGTTTAAAAACTACCACATTCCTCACTGGCTTTGGTGGATTATAGTCTGCTCAGTCAGATGGGCTGCACTGAACTCCATCAAAGCTGATGTTCGAATAAGTGTTTTAATCTTCTGAACGCCACTACAGCCTTTTCTGGTTTTCACCAACATAATACAGCTAATCCCAGTGGAAGTTATTATAATCAAAAGCATTAAAATAAATTTTTCAAGTATGCCATTATTGTGGTTTTAATAGGATGACAAAGAGCTATGCTGAAATTTTCTTCTGCCTTTCTACCTGTGGTTCTCATGCAGTTTGACTGTCCTAGAGAGAAAATCTTATGTTAAAAATAAAAACATGATCAGAATATTTCCAGGCCACCCTTAAGGACAAGAGCCTTCTCAAGGCAGCTTACAGTAATAAAATCACAATGCAATAAAGAACATAATAAGAAAATATTAATAAAACCCACAAACATTCTGCCACAGTATTAAAATTGAACTCATGTGGAGTCAAAACCAGAACAGAACAATAGAATCCCATTTAAGAGAAATCTTGAGAAAAATAAATGGGACTTTAGAGCTTTTCAGAAAAGCTGGGAGTGAATCAGCCCCAGGTGGCAGTTCATTCCATAGGGTGGTGTGTGGTCCCACTTGCATTCATTGGCTTAACTGCTGTCAAAGAAAAGGTAAGAAAGGTTTCTGTTCCTGAAAATGGGAGCAGATCAACAGGAACTTGGTCCCAATCTGTTTTCAGGCTTTAAATATTAAAACCAGCAGTTGACTGAGCTCAGAACCTCACTGGTAGCCATACAACCAGCACACTGTAGGTGTCAAATGTTCTGACTGCTTTGCTCCCACCAGAGCTCAGAGAGCGATGTTCTGTGCTAGCTGGAGCTTCAGGACCATCTTTAGAAGCAGTCCTGTGAAGAGGAAACAAAGCACCCGAGGCTCCTGCATTGGCTCCTCCCTCCTTCTATTGCTCACTTAGCAGTGAAGACAAATTAGCAACAAGAGTGTGGAGGAAGACCATGTGGCCAAGTGACTTGAGCGATTGGCAGTGGGCTCCCTACTAGCACATGGGCCTTAATACTGGGGCTCAGCCATGCCAAGCTCTAGCCCCAGCCCCAGCCCCAGCCCCATAACACTAATTGTGCAATCCAAACTTACAATATGTCTGTCTTTATTTGATTTCTATCCTGCTGGCAGCTTACAAATACCATAAAAACACAGTGCAAAAAAGGCAAAAATACAACAGGGATCGCACACGAAAAACATACTACCTGTCTCCTAGGCAGCACAACCCAAATGCCTTCTGGAAGAGCTCGGTCTTCAGTTCCTTCCAGAAAGTGGCCAGGCTCGGAGCTGGTCTCACCTCAAGCACTTTTTAGGTGCTGCCACTGAAAAACAATGCCCTTGAGGGTCGGTCTCCTTGATCTCCTGTAAACAGGAAATGAGCTGCTTCTTGTGACACAGACTCAATGCTGAGGCTGATTTAAGCAGGGAGATGTCATCCTTCAAGCACCAAGTCAGGCACCTGCCAAGGCTTTGGAGGTTAAAATCAGCCCTTTAAATTGCAAGCCAAAGCCAATAGGCAGACAGTGCAGGGGCCACCATACAGGTGTTACATGTTCCCAGTGATGAACATCCAGGCCACAACATTCTGTACCAACTGAAGCGTCCAGATGGTCCCATGTAGAACACACTGCAGTAGTCTAGACGTGATGATGAAGGCAGCAGTCATTGTCACAAGGTCCTCTTGTTGCAGGAAAAGCTAGAACTGATGCTTTGAGGTTGCTACTTCCCCTTTTGTTTTTATCTGCATTGTGTTGGATTAATTGCTGTGCCAAGTTCCTCATGAAGATTTCCTTGCTCACTTATAAATAAGAGGCTTTTAAATAGTTTGCTTTGAGATGTTTCCCGATAGAAGCTAAGCCATAACACTCCTGCTGTTGGTACATTTAATTGCAGGAGTGTGAAGATAGATCCAGATGCAGATGTCAGCCTCTAACTGTGTTTGCTTTGTTCCAGCCATACCCAAGTATGAAACCTTTGGATTTAAAGTTGCTGTGATTTCCTCCATTGTGAGCTGTGCCATTATTCTCCTGATGTCCATGGCTTTTTTAACCTGTTGTCTTATCAAATGTATTAAGAAAAATGAAAGAAGGAGGGCTCAAAGGTGAGTCATGTTTCTGGGTCTAGGCCAGTGTTTCTTAACCTTGGTGACTTTAAGATGTGTGGACTTCAACTCCCAGAATTCTCCAGCCACCCAGGGAGTTCTGGGAGTTGAAGTCCACACATCTTTCTTAAAGTCACCAAAGTTGAAAAACATTGGTCTAGGCTGTTAACTGAAATATCAGCTGTAAGGTAGAGCACTACTTCTGTGACTCAATTTCTGCTTTTCTCTTTGTCTTTTGGTAAATACTCATTTCCTGTACATGTCTAGAAATATTAACAGCAAGGCTCTCATCAATATGCATGTCTCACGTGACAGGATCTGCAACTTTTAATAGAATTTATTGAAATGCTTTTTAATGTTAAAACTCTTATTTTAACTTTACAACAGTAAGTCTATGAGGTGGAGTTCATGAGAGCAGGGACCAGCCCTGAATAATCTAGTAAGCTCTATGGTCAAGCAGGGACTTGAATCTAGATCTCTCAGTTCTAGTCCAGCACTTAGCCACTGGCATTAGGCCATTAAACTGGCTCTAGGATAGAAGAGTCACCATCCATACAAAGCACATGTCCTCCTTGATATCCAGGAAATGAAATCATCTTCCCTCTGGGCAACTGTTGTCTTTCTCATTACTGTGACATTTCTCCCTTTTTCAATTTGTCAGCCACCCAGAGTTGTTCTGGAGTTAGGCAGCCCTAGAAATGTGCCCAATTAAATATGTACATACATACATACATACATACATGTGTATACATAGATACATGTGTTCTCCAGCTATGATAAGACCCCATCATCACCTGTGTTTACTGACCTATTTTCTTGGCAGAAGTATAACTTTTCTGAACTTTGCTAATTCTCATTCAAGATTAGGCTGTCCCAGGAGAGATCTGGGCCAGCTTAATTTGAGAGATCAAGTTCATAATAACTTTTTGTTCTGCTGACTACCAGGTGGGCAGCTTTTCCAAGTCAGTTTGTAGAGGTCTGTGGGTTGCTCAGCCATCTCTGTAGAATTCCCTGAAATGGCTTTCTCAGATTTCTGGCAAGGTGTAGTTGCTCAGATGACACAAACCTTTACCCATGCCAGTGGGGATGGAGTTTTGTTTAATTGTTAATTTAAGCACATCTGTATGCCTCTTGAATCCATTACTCCCCTAAACCCAATCACTCTCTCAATTCCCATTCATACACGAATCCCAGTCCTTCAGTTCTACTTCCTCAGTGGAATAAAGCTACCATACTGTTTCATTGCCCTTGTCCTTCAATGGCCACCATCTCCACCAAATTCCCTCTTCGCTGCTATTGCTCCAAATCAAGGTCAAATTGGCACTGATGCCAGTTGGTCAACCAGTTCCTGTTCTTTCTAGTCTTCCATTTTTCTGTACCATGCCCATTGGTCAGTTTCACACAGTTTTGGTCTGCCCAACTTTCTCTCCAATTTCCTAATTAACTCTTACCTCTGCTTTGAGTTCACTGGCATTTTCCTTCAACATTAATCCTGCATATTCCCTTCAAACCCAAAGACTCTTCCAACCAGACAATTTAGCTGGATGCCATCTTGATATCTTCTCTGTACATTTGGGGACTTTGATTTTTCAGGGGTTTTTTACTGTGTGGAGAGAGTCTGAACATACACAACTCACACCCGCAGCCATTATTCAGAATTTCAGATGATTGCATAGAAGTTGCAATCAGGGGCAATGAGCGCAATCTTGCATTTGCAATACAGATGAAAAGGGACTCTTCCACTAAATTGGTGAAAAGGGCAGTGAAACCATCATACTTTCTTTAACTTATATAATTTATCTTGCATAATGCCAGCATCATATAAAAGAGATAGCATAATGGGGAAGGGGTACATGACAAGAATGTGAATTGCAGGGACTTGATGTGATTTGCCATTTTAGATGTTTGACGGTAGTCACATTTGCACAGTACACATCTGGTATGCTCTACTACAGATGGAAACAGTGCCTCTTTTTACAGGGATATGCAGTTCTGGTACCAGCTCAGAAGTGAAGAGCTAGAAAACATGCAAGCAGCTTACTTTGGTTTTAAAGGCGGAAATAACAACAACAATAAAAAAATTAAAAACCAGCCGGAGTCTGATGGTGGTAGTAACGTGGCATATGACAACCAAGGCTTCTGCAGGTAAGGAAATCACCAATTTGTATGGTGATGCATTTCTGAACAGTTTTTACAGACAACTGGACAATCTGCTTATCACACACATCTCAGCACTCTTTGTCATTTCTGTGTACAGCTTCATCTTGCAGAGTGCTAAAATGACTCTGTCATTCAAAGCTCTGTTGAATTTCTGTTTTCTGCACAAAACCCATATTGTAAAATGAATCTCTAGATCATTCTCAGAGTTGTTCCTTCAGGCCTTCTCTATATTCCCTGCTCTAATTTAATATGCACCACTGTAGTTACACCATGCAGTTTTATTTATGATAATGCTACATAAACTATAAAAGTTAAACTACAACTCCAGTCACTCTGCAGATCAAGAATCAAGCTGCACATTATGCTTAGTGCATGGCATGTTAGTTTATCTTCCACATTTCTTTTAATCCCATCCTTCCAGGAATGGAAGAAATGGAAAACAACTGGCATAACAAATATTCAGTCTCTTATGTGTGTGTGGTAATAGCCAGCTGATGTTAGTTCTCCTGCAGGGCATGTGACTGTGGACCAAGGAGTTGTTCCATGCATACTAAAGATGAACCATCATGGCACTGAACAGGAATAGGAACCAAATTGTCAAGCTCAACAGATTTATTTTGGGGTTGGGGGGAAAAAAACCAATTTGACTTTATCGTCTTTAGTGCTTTTCACTAACACACCCAGTTGTGTGTATCTCCTTCCATCATGCTGCAGTACCAAAAACCTATGTCTCTCATATCTTTAATTATATTTTTTAAATGTTGTATAGCTGCACATTATGCATTAAATGCAGATGTAATGTTTAGCCCTAAAGTAAGCCACCTGATTATTTACTTTTCAGGATAACTGCAGGCTGTTCATAATGCATTTGTTATTCAGCTAAATAAAAGTTTTTATAATTGATAAAATGATTCCATTTTTAAAAAAAATCCTAAATATAATAAAGGGATTGCTCCCCTGCTGCAATTGCTCTGGGACATTAAAACCCACCCACGCTATTTAGCCAAGAGTACAGGTAGTCCTCGACTTAAGACTATTCGTTTAGCGACCATTCGAAGTTACAACGGTGCTGATAAAAGCAACTTACGACTGATCCTCACACTTATGACCGTCACAGCGTCCCCTGTGGTCATGTGATCAAACTTTGGGCCTTGGCAACTGGCATGTTTTTACAACAGGACAAAATGTAATAGGACATAATTTGTTGGAATTTTGTTTGCAACTACTTTATGCCTCTTTTTCACTCTGGAAGAGAAACCTGTTTAAAACTGCAGAGAGCTGAGTTGCATTAGCTGCTCCATATTGTTTCTGATAAGTTCTTATTGCAGCATCTTGTGAAAATATTACTGCTGCTTTTTGCTGCTTGTGATAGAAAGAAAGCTAAGTGTAAAATGGCAGGTGCACCTTGCAGTAACTTGCAAAGGTCAGAGCAGATAATATAATAATCTTATGCTCCTGCTGTATGGATGTCTGAGTCTCCCTAAGAAGCCACTCCTGTGCACCCCATTAGTTAGTGCTGCCTTGTGCTGGATCTGTTGGAGGACTTCCAGCATTCAATTATTCCTGCTGCAGTTTCCAGTCTACCCACCACTGGGCCAGAAATTGCCCTTGTACAAGGACAAAAGAATCTCCTTATGGCCTCATTAATACCACTTTAGCTCCATAGGAAACTGTTTTATACCATATCAGCCTCTTTGTCCACCTAACCCAGCCCCTGACCAGCAATACCGGTCTTTCTTATTCCTATCTGACCTTTTAATTCAGGGTGCCAGGGATTGAATTTATGACCTTCCTGTAGGCAAAGAGACTATTGTACTATAGTTATCTCTCTTACCTGGGTTACAATGTATGTTTTTAGTACTGTATATAGTACAGTATACCTTTTTAGTAATAATAGATGATTATCTTTATTTTTCTCCATTTTTGCCTGGTAGCAATGCCTTGCAAAACTCTTGTTACTGCTGCTCAAGACTGTTCTTCAGCTGTCTTCTCAGGGTCCCTAGAAGGTCAGTCTCCAACGGGAGAATGATTTTTTAAAAATCTTCCAAATACATCCCTAGCACTAATATGCCACGTATCACACATGTACTTACATGGAGCCTAAAACATCTCCATCCCAATTAGTTCTTTGAATCCCTTCATCAGTTAAAGTATAGTGGGTTAATATGAGTGAAAGGATAATTTTAATAAGGTTCAATTGGGTATAGAGTACTCTGTCTAAGGAAGCCTGCTAGAGTTTATTTTAATGCCCTTTTGTTTGGCAATAACTCCTCTCTTCCATGCCTTAACATACCATCTGTGTTGAATGGATCAAAACTTAATTCCCACAATGGCCCAACAGATATCTATGGGAAGCCCAAAGAAAAGAATGGATTTAATAGCATCTTTTCACCCATATTCCTTTAGAAAGATTGAGAGACTGAACAGTATGTTTCCAAATCACAAATGGAGTCTCCATCGGTAGAAGGTACCCGCTCCACAGATTTGTCTCCAAGTCTTTCAAGTATGTAATGAAGGGAAAGAAACTCAAAGGACAGTTTGGGTTTACCAGAACAGCCCTGGCTTCACATGCTTGGAGAACACAGTGGAGAAATTATAAATTGCTTGTGCTGCTTTTTAGGTACATGAATTCAGTTAATGACAATTAAAGTTACATAGGATATGTTGATGGATATTGTATATATTCTGTGAACCATTTTGAGCACTATATACTTGCTGAAAGTGTAATATACAAATAAATTAAGAAAAGCAATAAGAATAACAACATTGCTGAACATCTTGCATTCTCCTTAAATGTATCATTTTGTTTTTAAGATCTAATTGGAAGGGTTAAGATTGTTTTAAGGAAGCTCTATTTTCCTCCGTGTACGAGAAAAAGTCCAGCCTGTGGCTCCACAAAGGTCTTTAGATAGCCACTGATGATTCGTGCAAGTTACATTGGCTCTCTAATTTCATATGTACAACCAGAGCATAGAACAGAATTGAACATAGCTGAATTGCTAAGTTTTGCCCAAATGAATTGCAAATGGATATGGTTATATTATGAAATAAGTGAAATAGTCTTCCTTTTAGCAGATGGTCTCATCTATTCAGAATGGCTTTTCAGTTTATTGTAAGCCAGAAAGCATTCAACTTTTTAATATTATTTAAAGCTGATCAGTCTTTAGGCATTTCACTGCCCCAAAAATAGTGATGAAGAAAATGGCACCATACCTTCTGTGTACAGAAGCAAGTGAGCGACTATTGAGTCTTTGTTTCAACTCTGGTAATAGAAGAGCATCTTCTACTGCATCAGAGGCTGGGACATCTGTATGGTGAGTCAACAGCATCAAAATGGTTGGTACAATCAGGTAATTGAAGCCCGGCCCCTTTGTGTGTGTGTGTGTGATGAGTGTGATGTATGTTAAAAAGGAGTAGAGCTTCAGTCACCTGGTCTGCCATTTTGATGCTGTTGACCCCCCTGATCAGAGGAAAGCCAGCATCCAGAAGAGATTCAGGGCAAGCTTGATGAGTGAGGTGTCTTATCACATATCACTCTGCTTGGTATGTGGTTGCTACCTTCTCCAACAAGTGCCTAGCATATGATAGCAACAGTGGCAAAGTGTATCCTATCAAAGGAGCAACATATGCCCATTCACATGTGCTGGCTGCTGCTCCTTCTGCTTACTCAGCCAGGGGTCTTTTCCATTGTTTTAACAGAAGGTGCTAATCCCAAAGTTCATTTGTTTTAACAGAGGGTGCTAATCTCATTCTGGGATGGAGGGGTGATGGTCCCAGAATCATGGGGCCTAATTTTTTGAGCCAGCTTGAGCCATACCATTTAACCAGTAAAAAAGGAGGAGGGGGCTTAGTACAATCCCCAAGCAATAGGCCTGAGAAGGTGACTAAGCTCAAGAGAATGGGAAAGGAAATGAAACTGATGCTAAGGTAGAGCCCTTTACCCTAACTTTAGGGTGAGTTTGAATTGTTTTATTAATCAGTCTCATGAGCTGCCCTAAGGATATCTTTGCCCCATGAACCAAAACAAACAACACAGAATTGTTTACTACATATACCATCTATTTTAGTAATACTGAAGATCTGTATATGACACTCTCTGTATATCAAATGATATATTGCAGTTGGTCCACTGGATTATGTGGAAAATGAACCTTGAAGCTGACAAATGAGATGCCAGTTTTGTGTGTCACTTAAGGGATATTGGTTGTATAATGAATTAGATAGAGTCAAATGATCTCAACACATAAATTGCTGTTAACAGCATGGCAGTAAAGAGGAATTATTGTAGTAAGAGCCATCTCAAAAAGACCTGTAATGTATAATGTAAGAAATGCAATTGGAAGACAATAAATCAGATGTCATTTTTGTACACTGTTTCCTAGATTTTTGTCCTTACATAATAATCACTATTTTTTAACAATGCCCCTCTAAGCTAAGACAGTTATGCAAAAAAGCTAAATCCTCTGAAAACCTGAGCCAAGCTTATTTCCACCAAGGGCAATTCCTTCTTTAATTATCCTGAAAAGAAAGAAACTGTCAACTTTGAGCATTAGAAACTCCCCACATTTATCCTAATTTTCTTTAACAAATGGATGAGAGTTTCTTTTCCACTACTTGGATGATGCTGTTCTTACTGCATCCTGCGAAGCAATAGCTGTTTTCAACATGGGGGGCAAATACAACAATAGGTTAAATCAAATGCTTTGCAACTGAAATCCTGTCTGCTCAGAACAGAAATATGTTTTTCAGATCCAAATAAACTTATGTCATAGATCCTTCCTTCCTTCCTTCCTTCCTTCCTTCCTTCCTTCCTTCCTTCCTTCCTTCCT